TCAATAATTTCTGCTACTTTAGGAAGGCATTGTGTGCGGGATTCTCTTCTTTATGTGAACTATGAATTTTTTTTCAATTTGTTCTTAAAAATAGGAAAAAGAGGTTCTCGCGTGAGTGGCAACCGGACAAAGAATTGATTGTTCACTTGGCTCGGAGTGCCCTTCGAGGACGTGTTTGGGGTTCAGATAGATTTATTGCATCCCGATCATCTCTTACTACTTATCATTCCCCAAACACCTCTACGCCTCACGAAATCGTATGCTAAGGACCAAATGTACCTTTTAACGATTCACGAGACCTCATAGCTCTCGTTTGTTCCCAACATGTGTGGCAACCCAATATGGAGTGCAGGCTGGGATGTGGTGCTCGGGCTAAAACGAATCCGATCCGACCATCAACTTCCCCACATGAGACCTTGAAAGGGAAGGGTATGATTCATTAGCTCTTGGTCATGAAGGAGAGATGCTATTATGCAAAGAAAAAAAACTACAAAGGTTTGGTGCAATGTGCATAAAGAAAGAAAAAGGAGACCAAAAAAATGACAACTTTTACCCCAAAACGAAGAATAAAAGCACCTCTAATAGTTCTGGTAGTCGTTTGTTGTCTGAGAATTCCCTTAAGCACATTTTTTATGATCGGCCTAAGGTAGTGGATATGGTCCTCACATGGGAGTCTGTGCTTGCACGGTAGGAAGGTAGTAGCATTCATTCATCCCCATATACTCTCATCTATGCAATGAAGAACTAGCATGCATACCACATCAATTTGGTCTCTCATATTGAATTATATTTGAGTAGGTTTGCTTGGTGACAAGCAAACGCCTAAGTGTGGGGGAGTTTGATAACACCAGACTTGGTGTTATTTACCCTACATATTTAGTGTGTTTTGTGCCAATTCATGTGTTTAAATGCTTGAACATCATCAAATACATCCCTATTGCGTTCCTATTTGATTTTGATGTGATTTTAGTGTGTATTAGTCGATATGTGAGAATTAGGTACAAAACAAGGTCACAAGTGTAGAAAAGGGACGGACACCTAAAGATCGTGGCCTAGAAGCCAAAGATCACGGCCGGGATCACAAGCCGTGAAGACCAACTCAAGATCGCGGCCCGGAAGCTAAAGATCGCGACCGCAATCTTGGAGGCTTAGGGCGGGAACTTCGCATGGAGGGACCCTTGAAGAAACAGAGAGTTCCCCTAAACGCATCACAGCCAATATCTATCTTGCCCGCGAGGACGATAACGGTCACGACTCGCGGATCGCAACCATGAAATCAGCCCGCGATCTTCCCCCTTCCGAAGGCCATGACGACATCTTCTTGAGATCGCGACCTATCCTCAGAAGATCCGCGATCTCCCATCCTCAGGCCGCAAACTTCCCCGAGTCCAGAATACCTATAAATACAAGACCTTTTTGCCAATTTTAAGAGAGCTGATTTTGAGAGAAATTTTTTGGTTCTAGAGAGAGAAGAGAGAGAAGCTGAAGGAAGAAGAAGGAGGAGGAGCTAAGAGCAAGGAGGATCTTCCCCAACTTCAAGTCTTTTTCTATTTCTACCATGTATCTTCTTTCCTCCTTTATGGATTAGTCCTCTAAGATACTAGTATTTCTAAACACCAAACCCTAGTTTTAGGGTTTGTATATATAAATGTTTTAGGGTTTGAATGAATGTGTTTGCCTAGTTGATTTTAATGCCACTCTTTCCTGAATGATGACGCTTGGTCAACTTGCCACAATCTTCCCTCTTAGCTTGCTTTATGCTAGCGCGCTAGCCGCTAGGTACAGAGTTCTACGGTTAGACGGGTATGCACCATCTGGCGAGCTTAGGTTAGATGTGTGAATGGGGGCCTATAGTGGTCGAGGTGACCGTACCCCTGCTATAGGTAGCCTTCCTAAGTGAAACCTGGAATGAAACTTCGGTGTGGACGGTGGATATTGTCCATTGAAATGAGCCATAAGCTTAATGCCCTAGATACGATAGCCTAGATCGAGGTGACTGGAACATGGGTTTAGGGAAGGTGTACTCGAAGGCATGTGGATAACGATGAAGGCCACGAAAAAGAGCTCACTCACCACATTCAATGACCCAAGATATCTATATATGCATTAGTCCCCGAAGTACCTGCTTTTAGCGTTGATCAATCCTCAGACTAGAGTTTCCTCATATCCTCCACCGAAAACCTCAAAAACTAATTAACTAATTAGCAACTAGGTGAGAACTAGGCTAGGGTACTAGGTCTCGAGTAGAATACGACCTTGAGTACCACTATATGACAACGCCATTCTAGGTTAAATTTGCTCTAGGATGAGGAAAAAATCCCACTGTACACATGTTTTTAAAAAAAATTCTCAAAATACACATGTTATGAAAAAAATTCCCAAACTACGCATGTTTGGGTCTTCACCGCGTCAGACTAAGGCGGTGATTGCTTCACCGCGTTAAACAAGGGCGGTGATGCAATCACCGCGGTAGACAAAAACGGTGATAGCTTCACCGCGTTCGACGGCCGCGGTGAAGGCCTGACCTGCGTCGAATCTTTAAAAAAACGTAACTTTGTGCTCGGTTATCCGATCGTGGTGAAATTTTTTTTGATTCCGCATAATTTTTCGAGATCTTGCAAGCCGCAAACAGCCGTAGGCGGTTTGGTCCCGCCTTCGTCCCGAAAAAAACGTCGTTTGCTACCCCTAACGAGCCTTTTTTCGATTTCGTCAAACTTTGAACGACCATAACTTTGTGCTCCACAATCCGAAAATCATGAATTTTTTTTTTATTTTGCATAACTTTTTGAGGACTACAATTTTTATCATAGACATAATTTCGGAATGTACTTGGATTCCTAAAAAGGAAAGGTAAACTTATTCTCAAAACCCTGTATATCCAAAATAATTCATTTTTTGAAAATTCTCTCCTACTAAAAATTGTAGTCCTCAAAAAGTTATGCAAAATAAAAAAAAAATTCATGATTTTCAGATTGTGGAGCACAAAGTTATGGTCGTCCAAAGTTTGACGAAATCGAAAGAAGGCTCGTTAGGGGTAGCAAACGACGTTTTTTCGGGATGAAGGCGGGACCAAACCGCCTACCGCCTACGGCGGTTTGCGGCTTGCAAGATCTCGAAAAATTATGCGGAATCAAAAAAAATTTCATCACGATCGGATAACCGAGCAAAAAGTTACGTTTTTTTAAAGATTTGACGTAGGTCAGGCCTTCACCAGGCCTTCACCGTTTCCTCTAACGCGGTGATGCATTCACCGCCTTTCTCTACAGCGGTGATGCAATCACCGTTTTTGTCTAAGGCGGTGATGCAATCACCGTTTTCGTCTAACGCGGTGATTCAATCACCGCCTTGGTCAGACGCGGTGAAGGCCCAAACATGCGTAGATTGGGAATTTTTTTCATAACATGTGTATTTTGAGAATTTTTTTTAAAAACATGTGTACAGTGGGATTTTTTCCCTAGGATGAGGTAGTCGTGGATACATGCAAACCTCTAACAAAAACTTGCACAAAATGAAGTGATCAACGACGGCAACGGTGATGACGACGAGCTTGTCAGAGCTCCAACACCACCACATCTTTCTCCACTACAACCTCTGTGACGTCTCTCCCGCCGGTGACGAACCTTTAACAAATAGGGGGGTTTTTAGTGTTGTTGATCAGGAGTCGGAGAGGTCGTTGTCAGCGATGGAGGGAGTAGGAGGCAAGCTCGGGAGGGGGGATTAGGATAGATGAAACATGAATTTTTAATTTTTATAGTTGTTATTTAATTATTTAAAAATAACACATTAGATACCGCGTCAACGCTGACTAAATTTTCTGTTAAATACTAACGATCAATGTCAGTCAACACTAACAGAATAATAGTTCAAGATAGAATTTAAATATAAAATAAGTTGGAACACAAGTAACATTTTTCTGATAGTTCTGATAGTTCGGCTTTTATAGTGATATTAGCAATAATATTTCTGTTTCAAACACATTTAAATACAAATTAGTTTGTGACAGCAGGGTTCGAGGAATAAGAACAAAGTCAGTGAAAACACAATCCAACTTAAAAGATAAAAAAGGGGGAGAGGGAAAATCAAGCTGCTATTGTTTACATTCTCAAATTTAGACGTTTGGATTGCAGAACGTCGAGAGTTGGGGGCCTGGGTTTAACAAAGTCGAACAGCGCCACAGGTAACAAAGAACCTAAGCAATCACGTATGCCACCCTAATAACACTTAAACAGCCTAACATAACTTGACCTATGAACTGCATTGATGAATAGATATTCAATCTTCTACGAAAAAGTCAAGCCAATGAACTCAGGATCGTAACATGAAGAAAAAATAGTCTTCAAGAATTTGCTTGTCGCCTAGGAAATTAAAAAACACGGAAAAAAAAAGAGACCGTTCTGCTTTCATAATGTCATCTAGCTCCGACCAATGATGATTAGTTGCATGATCAAACTGCCATAGTCATAATTAACTATGACAGTACCTCCATAGTAGAAGGCTGCAAGCAACAGTAACTTCCCTAGTAACCCAGAAACTAATCGGGCACCAATTCCTAGTAACCCAGAAACTAATCGGGCACCAATTCCTAGTAACCTTCTCCAGGAAATCAATAGCATTCCAGACTAACCTAAATAGCTATCAACCTGGTTAGCTTCATGATCTGCATCAGCTAATAAGCACATTTGGAACACTAAATCAAATTGAAGATCAGATTTCTCAAATAAATTCTTAGAAGCTGCTTCGTTGGTTATACACTCAACTTGAGAACAAGGGGTCAGGAAATCGGATATACCGTTGTCTCATCATCAGCATTTATGGCTTTCTCCTAAGGGTAGACTGAAACATCCGCAGTTTAGAATGTATATGTTATGATATTTACCCTGTTCGGTCAAGATCACATTGTTGCAGATAAAACAATCTGCTATTGATGACAAGTAGCTGCTAGAAAGAGCGGAACAACCAAAATAATCACTGGAAAAGTACCTAAAAAATATTCAAACACATTGTTAAGAGGCAAGGTGATATTTTGTTAGAAGGTTCTGCAGAAGAATACAAGAAAGAGAGAAATAATACATGGCATTCCATCACAACCTGTCATAAATAAACTTCAATGAAACATGCAATGAATAGTGAAAAATTGGATGCAACAATTAATCAGTAGCCCCACAACATGTAGATCAAAGGTCTTATGTACAATGGAAACAAAAAAGGTCTACTTCCCTATAACTGATTTTCCAGAGGAACAACACAGAAGCTCCCTAAGTGAGAGTGCACATATATCTCAAACACAGAAGCAGCTACGAAACATTTGAAAAATCAAATTTATCAGCTTCAAGAGTCATTGACGATCGGAAAATGCAACACAAATTGAGAGCAGACGATAACAAAGCCGGGGTAGAACTTACATGGACATAGGATTTTAGGAGTCGCCAATATTCAACAAACCATAAATAATTAGAGATGGATACTTTCCTAGTTTAACCTCCTCCTCCTAGGCGCACGAGAATCCCCACTGTCAACATCCGAGGCTCTCGAACTATCATTCCTTCTTCTGGAAGAAGATGTAGAAAGAGAGACCATGGAATCAATTTCAGCAGCAGTATCCATTTGACTTTCTGAGTTTATAACTGCAGCAATGCTCGAAAAAGAATCCCTGTCATCAACAGCTTGTTCCTGATTCCTCATTATAGGATTGTTTCTTAGAAACTCGACCATTCTTCACTAGTAGTATTAAAAGCAGCCGATAGTGAACTGTGGGCCGAAGCTCTTTGGGCATGTGATTGGGACCTCCGAAGAAACAGAGAGTGAAGCCGTCGGCTTCTAACTCCTCCCTCGGGACTACTTGTTCCACTGTGCGTCAAATCCACTACCTCACTAGGATTTGGAATTGAACTTTGCTCTGCACGCGCTCCCCTGAATGTCATCAACCTATTAATAAGGGAATTCCTATCTGTTATGTCACGGGCCCCACTAGGATCATGAGATGGAGTCAACTCTCCCACCATCTCAAGTCTACTTCCAAGGCGCCGAATCACCTCTTCCATTGGAAAGTGAAAGTGATTTCTCTGAATGGTCTGCCTCAGGCTCTCGACTCGCCTCGCCTGTGGCCTGCTTGGGATCTCAACGCTGGAGTCATCTTCAGATGGGCGAGAGCTATTATTACCACGACCATATATTGGGGTCACATTCTTGATGGTGACCTCCCCCTTGCATACAGGGCATTCTTTTGCGTCTGAATGAACATTTAACCATCTATAAAGGCATGCCCAACAGAAGAGGTGGCCACAACATGTAACAACCGGATCTGAAGCCAGATCGAAGCAAATATTGCAGTCGAAAAAGCTCCCATCAGTGCCACTTCCCTTCTCGACGTTAGCCTTATTTTCAGTCACCTGGTCTTCCAGAAACAAGTTGGAATTTTCACACATTTTGAGGTCTTCATTGGACCGTTCTTCAGCTGCTACACTACCTTCACCAGCTTGCAAGCCGCTCAAAGCTGCAGAATCACCTATCAGTTGATTCAATTCCACCGAAAGTGATTGCCTTTCGCGGGGGAATTGGACTTGTCGCCATCTCCAGCGTTGCCTTGCTCGAACTCTGACAGCTTGCCTTATTCTTTCGATAGAGTTATCATTAACCCAATCGTCCAAGTTCACACCTTCACTACCTATAGCTTCTCCTGACTCTGCGTCAGGGCCAGGACCGAGATTCAAGTCGAGATTCATAGCATCGGGTGACTCGTTCTCCATACCAAAGTGAAGTAATCTACGGTGCAGAAGCCTGGATTCATACGAGGTAAAACAAAATGCTGTCAAGATCAAAACTCCCTACAATATTAAGCTAACCAAATCAATGACGATGCACGATTCACAAATTACCAACTCCGCCACAGAATTGCACCAACTCGTATCCGAATATACACCGACCCATAAAGAATCAGAAAACCCCTAAGTAGGAACAGCCAGTCGATTCAATTGAAGCCACAAAGAGCTCAATTTTGGGGGAGAAAAATCCCCAAAAATTATGTTCAAGGAAAACCCTAGCTTTCGGCAAACCAAGACGGTAACATCGAAATTGACACGTTTCTGCCATAAAAATGGATGCCAAAAGATTGGGAAGTCTCCGAAATTGTCAGTTAGAATGATTGACGACATACTAATGGAAAAGAGGGGGTAGAAAGACAACTGAAGAAACCTGGCAGAGATAGAGAGCGGCGATCTTGACGATCAGCTTAAAGGCAAAGAGCGAGACCCAGAGTTGAGATAGCTCCGAGTTGACTCGCCATGCGAAGGCGTTGTCTTCTTCTTCAGCTGCTGCTAGCAAAATCTCATCTTCACAGAAAAGAAAGAGAGAGGGAATGGAACGGAAGAGAGAGGACACGAGACCAAAAAAACAAAGCTAGTAGTGAAATGAATAAGAAAAGTCTTCCGTGACAGATTACGAAGAAGAGATACGGAGAAATAACTCGGTGCTTGCGGGTTCTGGTGAACCTCTTATCGCGCTTGGCTTTCGTCCGTCCGATGGAGATTGACGAGGTTGATCAAAGAATATTGGGTCCTTTCCAGGAGAGGGAACGAGTGGCTGGGATTAGGCTAATTATGTGAAGCTAGTATGCTACCCAGTGGATCGCAAACGTGGATGCCATATGATGGACAAATGGCGCCGTGGCTCGAATTATTATTAGGCAGAATACATGTACTTATTTATAGCTATAATTTTTTTAGGGATAGCAATGGGTTGGGTGTGGTGCGGATATCATATATCCACTGTTCGCCATTTAAGTCCGCAGGTATTACCCGCACCAGCCTCACTAAACTATACGTACGCAAAATCTATCCCAAGTCCAAACCCATGCGGATATGGGTGAACCTGCGGGTCACTAGATACCCAAGAACTTCAACACAAAATCAATCCAACTCAATAACTAAAATGAAAATAAACTGAAAACAAATATTATATTTATAGCATTCAACCTGGTTCAATGAAATTTCAAACCCAGAACTTGCAAACTCAATAATTAAGAACTCAACTCAGTGAACAGAGACCCCCCCCCCCCCCCCCCCCCCCCACGAACCCAAAAAGTGTAACAAAATCCCAGCAACCAATAATATGAACTCAGAGGTAACAAACCCAGAAACTACAGTACTACACCACAAACGAACGTGTGGTAGTTCAACACAAAATCAAACCTATAGCTAGTAGAGAAAGTACTAAGCAGCACCAATCTGTCTTCCATCACCAGACCAACAATCTGTCTTCCATCAGCAGACAACAACGTCAACAGATCAGCAACAACATTATTGGTAATTCATCAACAATCCAAAAATGCATCAACAGACCAAGAATGCAGACAAAAAATTCATCATTCACCAACTAATGGCTAATGGACAATAATATGCAATTAGACAGTATAAAAGATGTTTTCAGAATTTAACTAAGTAGCAAGCATTAGTAGGGAAAAGTTAGAAGTTCGATTACAAACCTAGAACTAGTCCAGAAGGTTCACAATAGGATCATCTTCATCTCCTCTCAACTGGGACGACACTCCAGCTCCATCTATTACAAAAACAACCAGTTCAGTAAATTCCCAAACCCAGCCAACAGTTACAGAAATTCAAAGAGGCTTACATGTGCTCTCTTCCACTGTTGCATCATCCATCGACATAGCTGAGAACACCCCCTCCAGCGCTTTCACTTTCGAGGCAGACACTACGAAAGAATGCAAGAATTAGTCGACTTTGAAAGAAATAATGAAATATCGCAAGAACTAAATAAGCATATTACCTTTTCTATCATCCTGAATCCAGGTCCTTAATATCATCATGGCTTCTACTGTTGTAGGATCAAGTATGCTCCGATGGATCAAGAAGCCTCCCACTAGAACTAAGTGCAGATTTAGATGCAACACTCGTAACATGTACAACAAGTATATCCCTTGCAATTTCTTGCAAAATGGGATACTTGGCACCATTGAATTTCCACCAACCCAACAAATCGAATTCTGGCAATGTTGTCAAACCGGTTTATGCCAGTGTGCCGGTTTAGCAAGTGGAATGGTTCGACTGGTGGCACATACCGGTTTGTGCTGGTTCATGCCGGTCAATATTACAAATAAAATTACAAATACTCATATTTAAACATGACATTTAACGTTAATACTTAAACATTTATACTTGAATCCAACAAATAACATCAATATTTAACTTTTATACTCATAAAATAAATAATAAAATAATTTTTATCAATTAAATTCACTAAAATAAGTTCATTTTACTTAGAGATTTATATATAGATCATGCCGGTCATACCGGTGGTGTCACGCCAGTTTTATGACTGGTAGCGGTTAAACCAGGTTCAACCGGTGGCACGCTGGCCGGCGTGACAACTATGAATTCTGGTGTTCTAGGATGAACATACTCAGCTAGATAGTGATCTAGCTCGATAGTAACCATAGATGTTCTAGTTTTCTTTCTTTAGCTCACATATAGATCAAAATCCAGATCAGTGGCCGAAGAACAAGGATGCAAACTAGACGAAACGGGCGAGTTTTTGGAGGATTTCCTTTGGTATTCAACAACTAAGTCAGCAATCACAGCTCTCACCCTTTCAGAAACAATATCGGTACTAGTAATACCAAATTTACCAACATAGTACTCATTAATTTCCAATTTGTAACGTGGATCCAACACAACAACAACGACCAACAACAAATGAATATCATCCCAATATTTGGCAAACTTATTCCACATATTCTCAGCCATAGAAACGATCATCGGATTAGGGTCACTTAACCATTCCACCAATCGTAACCTCAAGTCACAAACTTTAGGAAAAAACTGATTCGCTGTTGGGTAGTTTGAACCAGAAAAAACAAAAGTTATGTCCTTGAAAACATCAAGTTTGTCAACAATAACAGCAGCAAACTCCCATTGCTCGTTGGTAGGCAGAGATTCATATTGAGGTTCCCTATTTTCAATATAGAAAACCCCCTTATAGGGGATAGCACCAAAAAGCATCTCATAGGTGGAATTCCACCGAGTGGGACAATCTAAAACCAATTTCTTAGAAACAGGTAGTTTAAGTTGTTGGGCAGTTGCATGGAAAGACTCCACCCTCCTAGGTGTGCATGTCCAAAAGACCACACTCTCCCTAATTTGCTCTATTCCATCTTTCAGAGCATCAAGACCATCCCTCACAATCAAATTAAGGATGTGAGCATAGCACCTCATATGAAGAAGTGTCTCATCCCTAATTAGATTAGATAAAACCAGCCTTCTTTTAACTAGATTGATCATTGAATCATTGGTAGTACAATTGTCAAGTGTAATTGTTGACAATGTACTATCAATGTTCCAGGATCGGAGGCATTGAGCTAGCTTTACAGCAAGCCTCTCACTAGTGTGTGTGGCAGGGAGGTAACCAAACATTAAAAGATGGTTTCTTAACCTTCAAAAGTTGTCGATATAGTGGGCAGTCACAGCCATGTAGGCCCTTTTTTGGTTTGTGGCAGTCCACATGTCAGTGGTGATAGCTATATATCCTCCCTTTGTTTTCGTCAAGGACCTTTTGAATCTTAGACCTCTCTAAACCATAAATAGTGACTATGTCCTTCTTTATGGTATTACTGGATGAGACTTTGAAGAGAGGGTTCAAGGTACAACAAAACCATTTGATATAAATGTGCTCAACAATAGAAGGGGATACTCATGCACCAAGATCATGGTGCAGAGCTCCTTTCTAGAAACCTCACTGCTAAACTGATTGGTAGTGATATAAGTTGTTCCATTGGCACTATAGTTATCACCAAGAACCTTTTGACTCCCATCGTGAATTTTTTTATGAACACATTTGTTTTTGTCTATCCTAAGATGTGAAGTACCATTACTACATTTCCTAGCCAACACCTTCTTACATTAGTTGCATTTAGATTTCAATACCCCAGAAACCATCATCCTAGTGAAGTGAGGCCAGACATCATATTTTAATCCCCTACTAGCACCTAAGGGATGTTGAGGAAGAACATCTTCCTCAACATTATTAGGATTACCAGGAGGAGGGGCAACAACATCATTAGCAGGTGCATTCTCAAAGTGTTGGGGTTCCATCTGTTTAAGAGGAAGAAATAAAAAAAAGATGTTTTAGAAAGATGTCCACAGTTCAGTTGTGTTCTCATAATTTAATTCAGATTAGTAGCTTACAACAGTCAACAGATTAGCAGATTACATATTGAGAAGTTTACTTGATTCAAGTAGTTTAGGATTACATATTAGATGTTTACTTGATTCGAGTAGCATTACAACAGATTAGCAAATCACCTATTACCCTTTTTCAGATTACAGATTAGCATTCAACATATTAGCATTTTAGCTGCTAACACTAATGAACTTACAAACATCGATTGACCAGTTGAGCTAGTCCAACAGATTTCACCCTTTCAGTTTACTTACAACATTATCGATTTAACAGGTTTAGGTTTAGCTACCAACAACAAGCTAGGTCGAGGACTTACCTAAGCAGACTGTAGTTTAAGCACCAGCTGCTTGATGAGATTCCTGAACAAAATGAGGAATCTGCAAAAACAAAAATGCAGGCAAATTAGTGTTTCTGGTTCAGGTTTAGGTACGAACAACAAATAACAAGCTAGGGTCGACGACTTACCTAAGCAGAATGCAGTTTATGAACCAGCTGCTTGATTTGAAAACTAAACAGAAAAGAGAAATCTACAAAAACATAAAAGCATGGATTAACAATGGACAAATTGATCATTACTAATTTCGATCTTAGCATTTACATATTTCACCCTTCATTACTAATTTCAATCTTAGCATTTACAGATTTCACCCTTCATGTGTTCACCTCTTCAGATTAGCATAAAGAAATTGATCAATAGTCATTACTAATGATTCATTAGCATAGTCAAATTGAAATGGGTTTAGGATTTTATTAGCATTTTAACATTTTGATCTTAGCTATTAAGGTGAGTAATTGTCGACTTACCTTAGCAGACAACACGTTGAAGCAGAAGCACCGGTCGCTAGATGGGACTCACGAATAACAATCTGCAAGAACAAAAGAGCAGATTTGGAATGTTAGGGTTTTCGAGTCTCTGCCGAACTAAGCAAGAACCAATAACAAACAATCAAATGAACTATTGTCAAATAAACTTACTTAGAATGAAGGAAAGGCTGATCCGGAAATCTGGTAGGCTAGGATTTCTAGATTATGAGTTCGATGACGCAGATGAACAAAATAATGAATTTCATCATCTATTTATACATGTACAAGCAAAACTGGATTAAGGTAAAAAAATAGAATACTTATCTCGATCTGGCCATCTGGGAAAGAAATCGTTCGCATGCACGATTGAGATTGACGATTCGAAGAAGATTTATGTCGATCCAGACATTTTAGGTGGTTGTAGTGTTGATTAACAACAAGATATGTGCTTTTTATCATGGGATAATCAATTTTCGAGGAAGAATAGATGAGAAAGGAGGAGAAATCGCCGGAAACGAGTGGATTTTTGGCAGGAAATCAGCGATTCTGGCGATTTCTACAGAGAAAACTCGGGGAAGAAAGAGGAAGGCGGCTTCTGAAATGAGATTGCTCTAAACCCTAGCGAAAAATGAGTCTTTATACCTATGTCCATACGTCGTCGTTTCCCTATCGGGGCGGATACAGAGTGGGTATCACAGGATCCGTCCCCAGCCCTTCACCGAGCAACGTGGGTCGCGGGTATGCCCCACACCTCTAACTTATCCGCCTTCGCGGGTTTCAACCCATTACACACGGGCGGGCCCCGACGGATACCAAAGGCCCGTGGGCCGACTGCCATCCCTAAATGTTTCACATTTGCGGAAAATATAGTCGATTTTAAAGAGTTAATAACATTTTATACGCTTTTACTATTATCAATTAACAAATTTATTATTTTATTAAAATTTTGCACAAACATACTAATATTAAAACGTAACAAATATATCTTTCCATCTAATTATATGTTAATCGGTAATTTAATGGGTTGGAAAATGACCCAATTGTCCCTCATTTACTCTAATTTCATTATTATTATTTTATGACCCAACTCAATTAAATATTAAAACCAACTCACCCTTCTCTTCGATAACACAACCTTTCCGTCTTCCTCACTCCCCCGACTCCCCAGAAACTCCCCTGAATTAGAAATCTAGCGCCTATAAACTCCGATAGCTTGTAATCAACTACGATTGGAGCAAGCCTTCATGGGAAAGAGGGTTTCAACTTGGCCTCTTCTCCATACGAACAAACAACAACTTCCCACTCAAGGTTTTTCCTTCACCCGAGCGCCACAGTTCCCGACAGTCTAGAGCTCATGTTGTTTGAGTTGGGATTGCCTATCAATTGTGTGATATCGATCAATTATTACTCTCTTGCACAGCAGAGTCAGACTGGGGTATGTCAGGCGTATACTATACGTCAGGTACTACTAGTGAGATATCTCTATCTAGACCATGAATTAAATCGAGTTTGGGGTATGATACTATACCCTAACCTCTAATGGATGGACCCCAGACACCGATTTTCTAAACCCCCACCCGAAGTTTGATGTAATGAAAAACAAAAATTGACCGTTGAGATCGACCGGAACTCATCTAAGTACATCTAACGGTTAGATCACCTGCTGTA